CTCATTTTAATCAGTCTAAAACTTACAGGCTCTGAGTGATTTCATTTGAAATAGACTCAACTGCTTTTAAAAGAACACCCCTTTGTGTATGTTTATTGTACAATAATAATAAATATACAATGATTACAGCTAGAATTGAGTGCTTATGATAGGTAATTTTTTTATGCTATCAAATCTATCTCTTTTTAAAATCCTTACCCAAGGATATGTTTATTGATTTTGAGAGAGAAAGGGAGAGGGAGGGGGAGAGATAGAAAGAGGAGGGAGAGGGAGGGGAGAGGGAGTGAGAGAGACAGACATTGATATGAAAGAGAAACATTGATTGGTTGCCTCCTGTATGTGCCCTGGCCTGGGATCGAACCTGCAACCCAGGCATGTACCCTGACTGGATTAGAACCTGCAAATTTTTGATGCACAGGATGAAGCTCCACCCAAATGAGCCGCCTGGCCATGGCTCTATGAGATCTCTTAATGCTTGCAACAATCTTACATGGTAGATACTGTTACTAGTTCCAAATTGGCCTAGGGAGATGAAATAACCAGCCCAACGTCACTCAGTTAGAACATGGCAGAGCTGGTGTTCAAATGCAGCCTGTTCCCGAGCATGGACTGTCAGGCATTTGCTTCTTTTTAGCCAAGCATATTGCTGTCTCTTAGACCATCTGTATGTTACAAAAGGACTTCATGCTGAAGCGAAGGAGAGCATGGGCTCTGGGGTCAGAGGGGCTGGAATCCCATGCCAGTTCAGCCACTTCTAGCTTCTCGACCTCAGCCAAGTGGCATAACTTTGCTGAGCTTTTCTTTCCTCATGTGTGAAGTGGAGACTGTACTTGAGTTCCTCTTACCTGAGAGCCGGTATCAGGGAAAGCCTTGAGAGGGGGAAGCTCCTTAAAGTGGGACCAAGATTTCATAGGAAAGAGCGATAGAGAAGGACTTGCCTGGTGTTCTAGTTTTTGAAAAGGAAACTAAAATTATGAAAATAAGTATCATATTTGTTTTAGAAAACTTGTTTTATTTCTTTGGCTAACAGGCAACATAACATCATGGTTAGGAGTAAAGGCTATGGATCGGGCTGCTGGATAGCTGCTGTGTTGTGTGTGACCTAATGTAAATTTAGTTCTGAACGCTACTAATTCTTAGCATGAACGTGAAATGAATTTTGTGTGTGTGTGTGATTAGTGGGGGAGGGGGTCGTGACTTCTACTTACAAAATTAATTGCACAGTAGGATACTCCTGCTATCATGTTTGATTTTCAAACAGCTATTTTGAGGGTCATTTTTATTAGGAGTACCAAGAACTTCTTCCACTTTCTCATAGTGTAGGAAGGAGAAGGTGCTCTTATTCCTGTAATACTGAAATTACTATATTTAAACCTTTTTCTCATTATGATTTTTCTTTTTTACTTGTTAATGGATTTCTGACACATTCTCATGGATCAATAGCTTCAGGGCTTGAGAAGTTCCCCAATACTCAAAAATACTTTCTCAACTTTAACTTTATTTCAGACTTTTAAAACAGATTTCCAATTTTGTTTTAAATTGATTTGTATTTTATTTACAACGTCTGGTAATGAAAATATGGTTAAAAATAGCTACAAAAAATCTGTGATGTACACGATGGGGTGGCTGGCGAGTGGATGCCAACAGTAAGGCTGGGCGGGGAGCGGATGGGGGCGGCAGTTGCTTGTAATCCTGTAAGTGGTGTTTATTTGTTTAAAAATGTATGTTTAGGAAATTTTTGCTTCTCATGTGACCTGTAATTGCACGAACTTGTAAATGAAGATTCAGATGACTAGACCTTCCTACATGTTCCTCTCAAGGCTGTTGTGTGAATTCCCCAAGATGAAATTTGTAAAATACTTAGCGTGGTGCCTGATATGTCATTATTCTTCCAAATGTAGTTATGAATAGTCTTGGTAAATATTCTTTGAGCATTACCTGTTAATAGGTTTTGTAAAAGGCATACAACCCAATGATTATTGTGTGTTTGAAGACAAGATTTGAGTCATGGGTTTTATGTTGAATCAATCTTTGAATACTTCATTTAGATGCAAAAACTTAACAAATCCAGAATTTCATAAAATCAAGAATTGATTTTTTTCTGTGTAAGTTGAATGTTATATTTTCTTTCCTCTTTAACTTAAAATATCTTTATCTGTTGAAAATTGTCTATTTTTTATTTTGAGTTAGCTGCCAATCAAAGATATTGGGATATTTAGTCCTCATAATGTCTAAAACATTGTATGTTGATGTTATTTTCATAAGATTCTTTTCCCTATTTTGGAGCAAACATAAAAACGGTGGCTGTGTACCAAGACCCCAAACCATCCCCCAATGTCTGCCAACAAGACTAGAAATGTTTTGACTTTTACTCCCTAAGAAACATTTTTGAAAAATGCAATACGATTAAAGCAAAAAAGTACTTGAATCTGAAATTTTGAAATTATAGATAGAGAACTCAAGCATTAGGAAACAAAATGAAGTGAAGAACATGACATGTATACAGGGGAAAGCTACGAGGTGAAGAATCCAGGCAGTTGTAACTTGCCTTGCAGGTACAACTGGTTTAATTATTAAAGCTGTTGTAAAAGGAGGCACAGAAAGGTTTGGCCCTGCAGCTCTGCAGGCTGGCACAGGACTTACTGCTCTTTACCATAAAAGAGGAATTAATTTTGGGGAAAATCCAAATGAGAATGTATCTTTCAGCTTGAGGCTTATTTTATCAAGTATATATGTAACTTGCTCCGAATTGTTTTCTTCACAACTCAACTTGGAAATTTTGACAGGGGTTTCACTCTTCAGAACACATCTTCATGTTCTGATCAAAAGTGGTTTCTTTTTGATATACTTTATTATCAGTCAAAATCTAACAAATATCACATGCTTAGTTGTGGAAAACATCTGTGCTATCCTATAAATGCATGGTGAGCCCCCCACGCCACCTAATTTGTTTTAATATACTTCTTAAAAATTTCAAGTCTTCCAAGTTTTGTTCACAAAGGAATGTGCTTTCGTTTGTTACTTATTATTTTCTGTATATTATTTCAGTCTTTTGAAAAAATCACTGCATTTACTAGAGAATGCATTTCTTATACTATGAAGTAAAAATGTCGAATGATCTTATAATTTTATCAAGTTGAGTATAATGTAAATTATACTTTTTACATTGAGTATAATTTACATTGAGTATATATTTTTTACATTGAGTATAATGTAAAGGTTTGGAATTGTGCATGACATGACTATAAATGTAAGTGAAAATATTGTTAATGTCTTGAGACAGTGTGCATTTAGGGTAAGGAGTCATGGCACATGCTAGTGGATATACGTTCATATTTTAAGTGCCTTCTGGATAATTTTTAATCTGGGGGTATCTACTTGTCATTGCTCTTGGATTAGTCTTTATTTATATTTCATAGTGATAAGCAATTAGTATTAGGAAACAGTTTTGTCATATTCTTGTTAGTATTACATTTAATTGGAAGTTCTTTCCTAGTCTACTTAAGCTATTCATCTAATATGTGAGGTTAGTTTCATTAAAAATTGATGATGATAACCCATAAGCTCATTTAAGTGGGTGCACACAGGGCACAATGTGTTGAAAATGAGGGTCAAGGAAGGGCTCTGATGTCAATGCCTTGGGCTTGTGGCACTCTGCCTGCTCTCAGGATGATTGATGAAATGTAACTTGTGACCTAGCAGGGGGCCAGTGCCAGCATATATGTAAATTATTAATAAAACAAGTTAAATATTTTATAAAAAATAAATGTAGGACTTTTAATATTTTCCTCCTGGCCAAGTTTCTCCGCTGGGGATTACCATACTAAATGTCTCAATTTGGATTGCTGGGTGCCTGCCTTCTTATGAGAAAGCCCCAAACTACTGTAGCTGTGCTGTGGCCCAGAACCAAGCCAGGCTTAGCCTGTCCCACTTCTGTTCTCTGTGGGGCGGGGAAGGGGGTGGTGGTGAGTCTCCCCGTCTGCCCTTCTCAGAATTCTCCTGCAGCCCCCTCTTTGCTTACTCCCAATCTTTAGGTCTTTTGTTCAGCTGTGAGCTCCTTGAGGGCTGGGCCTCATGGTAGTGTTCAGTGAACCCTCCTCCCCCATTTTTTTATTGATGTATAGTTGACATACAGCATCTTATTAGTTTCAGGTGTACCATATAATGATGTGATATTTGTATATGTTGCAACGTGATCGCCACAATAAGGCTAGTTAACATCTGCCGCCATGCAGAGGGACAGAATTTTTCTTTGTAATGAGAACTTTTATAATCTATTTTCTTAGCAACTTTAAAGTGTGCAATACGATATTATTAACTGGGGTCACTATGTTGCACATTACATCCTTATAACTTATTTTATAACTGGAAGTTTGTGCCTATTTGACAACCTTCAACGAATCCCTTTTGAATGATGCTGGCTTCTTTGCTCTGAAGCTGGAAACCAGTTTCTGGGTGTGGGTTTGAAAGGGCCAGGCACACCCAGAGGCTGATGAGATGCATGCAGCTGGTGAGGAAGTAGGTTAGGTAGTGTGATAGCGGCCTGCATTCCCCCACACTGAAATGTCTGGCCCTGACTAAGATCTACAATAGAATGATCTTATCACCATTGGCTCCTGCCGTATTTGGCCAAAGTGGATTCTGACCTGAGACAAATCTGTGATCCAAGTGAATAACTAAGGTGGAACTTTCAACATCCTTATGTTGATTTTTCTTGCTGTTCTGAAATATAGTTTCTATTCTAGGAGTAGTCAGTGGGATGTCAGCACTGACAACTTTTCCTTATGTGTGGAAAGTAACATGAAATAAGAAAGGGGGATTTTTTTTATACAGGTAGCATCTCATTTCTATATTCTTTTGTAATTTTGTCTCTGCAATTTTACTATCTAATGAGTTACTGTTCCTTCCTGGACAATGTTGATAACTGAAGGGCAGGACATAGCTCTGTTGGTTGGTCACACGGGGACTCCTGCAATAAATGCTCTTCTTATTATTTGCAGATGCAGAAGCCATGGAGCTGAGCTGCAGCGAAGTACCTCTTTATGTAAGTTCCTAAGCACCGGGCTTCAGGTTGAAGTGGCTCTTTCCTAGACTCAATACCCTTGTGACTGAAGTGGGGAGAAAGGCTGTGCTCACTATTGAATTGAGGCTTTTGAAAAACAACACACAGCGCTACTGTCTAGTTTAAGTATTTGCATGAAGCCTTTTAAAACTGGTTGGCTCCTGGTTCCAAAGTCTGGGTTATATTTCCCTGAGTAACTTTTTTTTTTTAACTGTATAAGTTCTGGACTCAGAACTTACTCATATATATGGCTTTAAGTACACTATTTTATGATAATATCCTGATAATCGCCAAGAACATGCTGTGTGTGTCTTTTCAGCGGGAAGGTTCTGGGATACTTGCGTTGGTTAAAAGCATGAAATAGAAATTCAAAGGGAAAGTTGCTGGTGTATAGATATGGAACAAGTGGGGGACTGAGTGACAGAGATGTCCATTGAGATTCCCAATCTATGTGCCTTCGGGTTGGAGGGAGGATTGTGCTCTTAAGGACCCATCGTGGGTAACAGGGGAGTGAACTGATGGTCTCCTCTTGTCAAAGGGAAAATGGCTTCCTCGTCCCATCTTATTTCAGACAAACCCTCTTCTCTTGGCACCTGTGTTGATGGGGGCTGGGCGTATGGGTATGTGCAGGAGGACGGCTGTTTCAGGCGGCTTTTGCGTTATCCACTCATGGACTACAGCAAGAGTACGGGATCTAGAATAAAGGGTATGCCCTCAGTTCAGATGGATCCTTAATAGAACAATATCAAGAAATTGAAACAAGCGGGTTCAGAATCCTCAGTCAATTAAAGCGTATTAATTCACTTTTCTTATCGCCTTCACTACCCAAGCAGGCCTCTCACTCCTCCCCTTACATGTGCCCCACTGTAGTCCTTGGAGAAGCAGAAAATGATCAAATAAATGGATATTAGAATTTAAAAAATGCCTTGTGGGTTACCCAGTGGTCTGTAGAACTCTCTTTACGTTGTGCTTTGAAAGTCGTAAAGTGTGTTTATAGACAATTAGGCTTGGACCAGCCATAATTGAGGATTAAAAAAAGACTGGCCCAAGACTAGATTGTAAAGTACCCCCAAGTTTTATTTACTTATTTTTTGTGCTTTATTCCTCTTCAGCTCTATTCATTCTACCCTGTTTTCCTACCTCAAACCAAATAAATACATTTTATCAATATTTGTGTGGAATTTTGTCTATATTTGTATGGAATTTTATCAAAGGTTCTTTTGGCATTTATTTAGATAATGTGCTTTTTATTTTACTAACTGTGATATATTGGATCTCGTAATTTTGATGCTTTCAAGTACTCTACCAGTCCTATTTAGTTGTTATAACTGGATCTTTGGAAAAAGAAATTAAGATAGCTCTGATAAGTACATAATTTAGATAGAACCCAAACAAAACAAGAAATTGTGAAGAACTGTAACATTGAAGGTATAAAAATAAATCGACAAACCTAACTGTGATATAAAACCTTGTGGTTGATCAGCACACTTGTGGCTGGTGTAGCTACCAGCTGTACTGAGCTTGGACCTGCTAGACTGTGACTAGATTAGGGGAGAGCCACCTGTAACTCACCCCCTATGATAACAGGTTGTTCAAACATTAATATATTTTACCAATTCTAAAGCACAGTTTTTTTTTCTTATTTTAACATCTCTGAAGTCGAGATGCTCTTACACTGTGCATCCTGGCCGAAGTCAGGACGGGGCTGTCGTTCCCCACACGCGTGTGATCTCGGTCACAACCATCACTTCGGAGCACTTATGAACTGGGCTGGTAAAACATGAATTAATTGCTTTCAAAATTATTTCCCCATGATTTGATATTAAAAGGCAAAGTTACTATGTATATAGACACACATGGGAATAGTGGTATGATACATGATGAAATCTGTATAAATAAGTTGAAATAAAATTCTAACATCATGATCAGCAGTTTTTCTTTTAGTGGAATATAAAATGCATAGTATAACATGGTATCTTGTATTAATTATGTATATTTCATATATACATCACTGATTCTAATTATATATATATATGGTAACCTGCTTTTTTTTCACTTAACATTTTATATCAGTATTCTTGAAGATTGACCTAAGCCAGGCTAACCATTTGGCCTTGTCAGTAAGGCCAGTGGAGGTTTATTATAATGAAGACAAGTCTCAAACCAAATGCCATCAAATAGGCAATATGTAAACAGAGCAGACACAAGAGCTGCACACAACTTGTTTCTGTATCTTGATGCAGGCCTCCTCTCTGCCCTTCTGCCTTCAGAGATTTGATAAATATTCACTTCTAGTTTCTCCTCATTTATTACAATCTGGTTTTTAAACCCTTAATATTTTAAAATTTATAATATATTTCATATATTATTAAAAAACAAAAATAAGAAATTAAAACCATTTTTAACCGGTCATCCATTGTAAGCACTAGTGATATTTTTGTATTTTTTCTTCCAGAATTTTACCTACATTTTTGTGGAAACTTATGAAAGATTCTTTTGGCATTTATTTAGATAATGTGCTTTTCATTTTAGTGACTGTGATATATTGGATCTCTTAATTTTGATGCTTTCAAGTACTCTACCAGTTCTATTTAGTTGTTATAACTGGCTCTTTTGGAAAAACAAATTAAGATAACTCTGTTAAGTCCATAATTTAGATAGAACCCAAACAAAACAAGAAATTGTGAAGAATCCATAACGTTGAAATTATAAAAGTACTAAGCATAATTGCATGCTAATACACTGGAAAAATCTCATTAAGATAGGCTTTAAAAATATAAATTACAAGATTTAACTTAAGGAGAATTAGATCACATAAATAGAGCAATGATGATGAAGTAAAAAAATTGATAGAAATTATTCCTCGGCTTCTACCCCGCCCCCCTACCTTTCAAAAAAGAGCACCTCTGCCTTGGCCGGTGTGGCTCGGTTGGTTGGAGTGCTGTTCCGCACACCAAACGGTTGGGGTTTCGATTCCCACTGAGGGCATGTACCTAGAGTGTGGGTTTGATCCCTGATCAGGGCATGTAGGGGAGGCAACCAACTGATGTTTCCCTCTCACATCAGTGTTTCTGTTTTTCTTTAAAATCAATAAACGTATTTTTTTAAAAAGCATCTCATTCAGGTAGATCCTATAGGTGATATTTTGTTTAATCATAACCTGTCTTGATTGAACTGTTGTATCATTCTTACAGTCAAATGTCCTTCTGTTTCTCTTTTTGGGTCACTATAGAGAATCCCTCCTGAAGGTGGTGGAGAGTTGATTACCACCTATAGGAAAATCTATGGATCTAAGTCTTTTTTTCCTTCCCTCGTATTATGTATGGATCACTGAAGAAAAATTTCAACTTTTTTTTTAAAGTTTTATTCTTTTATGCCTTTTACTATTGTTTTTACCCCTTGTAGAACAACTGATATTCCAGGGTTGGACTGTTTCATTCTTTCTTTTTTTGGGGCGGGGGAGGGGAGCATCTGAATTCTGGAATTTCTTTATTTTTCACTTAAGTTTTCTGTAGTGTCAAGTTTTTTTCCCCCTATTCTTCCTGCCAGCAAATTTTTAGATTCCATTACATTGTTTTTAGTTTCTATACAGTATTTTCAAATCTTGGTCTGTTTCTTCTTATGCCCATGTAGTTTTAGAGAGATAATCTTTTATATTTTACTGTGAGCACAGAGCAAGAACTTAAAATATTTTTTCAGTATCTACCAGGAATCTGTTTCAGAGAAAGTTTTACTCTCTGATTCCGTTTGTGTTCTTGAGTTTTTTGGCAAACACTTTTTTCTCATTATTTTGGACAAATACTTCTGTTTGTTCATCTTCAGGAAGGAGACTCTATCTTAGTATTGGGGATGCAGGGATATTCCTGAACTCAGCCACAGACTCACTTGAACTTTGAAAATAACCAGAGAGGTCCACTGAGTTGCCTTTGCAGGAAAAGAGAAGCACTGCTCTATGACAAAATTAGGGAAGAAGCAGGGATTGGCAGGACTAGTGGCCAAGAGTTGTATAGCATCGACTTGCAAACCTTAGGGATGTGCTCACTGCAAATCCAATTCTCAGCCTCTGAGCAGCTTCCTGCGTCTGTACTTAAAGGGGCACTAAAGGAGCAGTTCTGGAAGGCCAGGCTACTTATTCACAATAGAAAAGCTATAGCCTGGTTTGAGATCCTGGTTTTTTATTTTTTATTTTTATTGAATTCATTGGGGTGACTTTGGTTAGTAAAATTCTATCAGTTTTCAGATATGCAAGTCTGTAATACATCATCTGTGTATCGTTCTGTGTGTTCGCCACCTCAAGTCATGTCTCCTTCTATCACCACTTGTACCCTGCCTTTAACCTCTTCTACTTCCCCCACTCCCTTTTCCCTCTGGTAACCACCCCTCTGTTGCCTGTGTCTATGAGTTTTTTTTCCTTTTCTTTGCTTAACAGACTCATAGATATGAGAACAGACTGAGGGCTATCAGAAGAGATGGGGGTTGGGGACTGGGTAAAAAAGGTATAGTCTTACTTTTTAGATTGAATGGTAACTTAAGCTAGTGAAAAGATGAAGCTAACAAGAGAGTGAAAGCCTGGAAAAGTGTAAATTAGAATTAGTATAACCAATCTAAGATGTTTATAGCATAAAACTCTTTGACATCACTTGGGAGTTTGAAAGTCCTATGTGTTATTTTTATTTTGTTTTAGTTTGTTGCTTTTAGTCTTATATTCGCCATTTTCTAGTTTGTACATGAGAAGAGATAGGAAATGATGCAAGTAGAACTTGAAAGGAGAGATTTTCGCTGACTGGGTATTTGAATTTTGAAAGAGGAAGAGATTTTGCATTCACAAGCTAAATTGTGTGTTTTTGCTGGTGAATGTTTTTCGATTACTTTTTAATTTGAGTTTTCTCTAAATTTTTGTGAAGGAAGGCTAGAAAACAAATACATGTTATGCTTATTTAGCTATTCACATTTTTCACATTAATTATATTTTTTGTTTTTAT